AGCTACAGCACTGGCGACTTGACTGGCGCCACTCACAGCTACAGCACCGGTGGCTTGACCAGTGCCACTTGGCATGAGAATCATGCACGCGGTTCTCCACAACTGTGAAAAGCCGACGAGTCTCCTTTACTCTTGCAGATTGTGAGTCCTGGCCTAGGCTGGCTTCAGCTCAGGAGACCATGGCTGCATAAATTTTATTGTCGGATGTGGAACTGTTAGCCTGTTTATTGCTTGGCAGACCTGCAACGGCGTTTTTTTGTTGTAGCTTTATAGGTCCCCAGGTACTCGTAGCTGCTACAGTAGCAGACGGATAAACGAACGTCGTTGTAGCATGTGAAGGCATTGCCTTGAGGTGATTCCACCAGCAGCCTTGGTGGCTTGAGTGGAGCAAGCGGAAGCTTTTCGACTGGGGACCTGGGTGATGTGGGTGGCAGCTACGGTAATTTGGCAGCCTATTTACTCGATCCTCCCATTTTCTCAAAGAGTTTTGTGTTTGTATTTTTGGAGTGGATCTCATGTGCACGGTCAAGCATATTCCCATAGCCCGTAGAGACGGACCATGATCACCTTGCATCGCTGGCTGTTTTATTTCTTCGTTCCCACCCATGAAATCTTGTCAGGTACATCTGCAAGCTTTGCGGACGATCGCGGCTTGAAAGATGAAGTTTCCTGGCAACATGCAGAAGTGAACCATGATCACAAAATAGTACTGCATGGAGAGCTGAGCATACACTTGCACACCATTGCACATCACCATAGACATCTCGACTGTGAGCAACGCCCGGGGGCATCAGAGGTCGTATAACACGCTCAGGTAGCGTACAATTGTAAGGGCATGATGAACCCAAAGTCACAGTTTCTCTCTGCATGGCATTCGCACTGGTGCTGCCAATGCACCGATCAATTTTTGAACACGAACAGTTGTGCAGACACATGTTCAAACCAAATTTGAGCACACACACACACACCACTGTATCGATGGAAAGAACCATCAGATGCATGTGAAAGCTCAGGATGAAAGCGAGCCAAAGGCAAGACGTTTGCAGATGATCGTGGGACAAACCCATGGTGGAATCATCGGTGGCTCTGCAGGCACAGTAGTTCACCACTACGTGGATGGCAGCTCTGCCGGTGGAATCGTTGGTGGTGACATCGGCACTGCAGGCACAGTAGTTCACCACTACGTGGATGGCAGCTCTGCCGGTGGAATCGTTGGTGGTGACATCGGCACTGGAGGCACAGTAGTTCACCACTATGTTGATGGCAGCTCTGCCGGTGGAATTGTTGGTGGTGACATCGGCACTGGAGGCACAGTAGTTCACCACTATGTGGATGGCAGCTCTGGCAGTGGAATCGTGGGTGGTGGCCACTACGTTGGTAGCTCCATTGGCGGAGTGATTCCTGCCACCCACTATGTAGGGGGAACCAGCTCTGTTGGTGGAATCATGCACGGCGGCGTCCAGGACCATGTGCACGTGACGCACTACACAGTTCCTGCTCCTGTTCCTCAGCCGGTCACACCTCAGGTGAAAGTAAAGCAGGTGGTGCAAAACCACTATGGAACCGTCTACAGGACACTCCTGGGCTGGGGCAGTGTGTGATTTGATTGTTTGATTACTGGTTTCTTCTTTCTGGTTCAGAAGGACAAGCATTCGTACTAGCATGTTACGCTGAACTTCTAGAATCGTGTTGAACAAAGCATGTTGCAGCCATGGGGAACAGGCAAGCTCATCATAACATAGAACGTGGCCTCGACCATCAGCTTGACATGCAATCATGAAGGAGTTACAGCTTCAGGAATGACAGTCTTTTGTCTTTTAACGGCTCTAATCATGATCCCAGTAGTTATGTGGATTCGGATAGTATGCTGCTCTGCTCTGGTATATTTTTGTGTTTTGCATACTGAGCCAGGAAGGTGCCGGTAAACCACTACGCAACTCAACTGCAGCTACAAAGTAGTCCACCACTTGAGGAAGCGTTGACTGACCTCGAATTCCTGTTGCCCAAATGGCAAATCTGATTCCTGCTGACATGTCGCTTCCTGTTCTCACAAGCGACACACTGCAAAGACAGGTCCCAGAGGGAGAGCAAACATACGAATAGATTAAACTACCCTATGCAATTTGTTGATGTAGATGTACATGAAACAGACGGGAGACAAAGGGTCAAGCAGATCTGACAAGAGTCGTGCCGCTAATTTACTGTAAAACTTGTCAAAGTTTTTGCCATGAACTCGACAAGGTCCATGTAAAGACGCCTGAGCAGCCTCCCATTGTCCACACAGTGAAAGTCATGGTCGGAGTCCAAGCAAAGACTGTGAGTTTGAGTGTGGTTCGGAAGGAGGACATCCCTTTTCACTGCTGCTATTGCCTGGCCAGACTCCTGCGAAGACGTACTCTTGCGATGGCGTTGGCGATCAAGCAGATCCAACCTGGAGTGACAAGCATACCCGGTGGTGCTGCTACAAGTATGGCACGGCGCGGGAACAGGGTTGAAATATGTTGAAATCAATTGTTCAACCGGAGCAGGTGTTGGTTTTGCGACAAGTGAGTGCAGTTCCAAATGTTGAGTTGCCAAATTTGCTACGAAATCACCCTTGCTGGATCCCTTGGCAACTTCATTTTTGGCCGTGTGGTCGGTAATGGTTTGAATTGGAGGGGTCGCGTGCTGTGAAAAAGTAGACATATTTAACTACATAATACACTGTCGTATTATAGTGGCCAAAAGCGACCATTTGGTGTGTCTGGAGAAACACATGTATCATATAAACACCATTAGGGAGGGTTTCGCAGCCTGTGCCAGTTCTGCCCGAAGACGGTGGTCGATAAGAACATCTATCACACTGTGGTGAAGACGCAGCAGCTTGTTTGGAAAGGTTCCAGTGTCCACTGATAGGCATTGAATGGCAATGAGTTCATGGTATGGGACATGGCGAGGAAACAGTATACGACCTATCATTACCTTCTGTTTGATATCTGAGGCCTGTGCGCGTGCCTGTACCCGAGCCCATGCCCACGCATGCTCCTGCTGCTCACCCGCATCCAGCATTCTTGGGCTTAGCATTCTAGTTACAAATTGTAAGAGGCCGGCCTATCACCAATCCAAGCTTCGAGTGTTTTTCTTTGCGAAGGAATCTTTGCAGTGTTGTTCTGTTTGGCCTCTATTCTGCCAGTGCTTCAGCAGTGTATAGTATAGCAGTATCAGTATATTATTTATGCAGATTGTGTTAGAATACGACGATTCCTGCAGAGATTTGTTATTTTCGAAACACACTATTTACGAGTTTTTCTTCAATTCCCGCTTCACACGTGCCCAGATTGTGAAGACCATCCGCCACACCTACCATGTGCCAAGCCCACCTCAGTATGTGCATGTACCAGTGCCTGGACCCACCGTTGTGAAGCCTGTGGGGAAGCCCAGGCTTTCAGTACATTTGTCTTCGATGTCAAGCATCGAAGGTGAAACACAAGAACATACTTTCGTGATCTTTCGTGTTTTCTTCTCCAAAAAAGCGGTGAGAACAGATATTTTGCTTAAGCTGTTGTGTACTTCCTGTACTTTTTTATCGATTTCTTTGCTCTGCTTCTTTGAAGTGCTTCATTTCTCGGAGGGGCACATGCTTCAAGTAAGCAGCGCAAGCCCCGTCAAGTGACGTGAACGAGATGAGGTTTCGTCTCGAGTCTCAATTCTGAGGTTGTCGTACCGGAGTCTGTGCCTGTTCCAGTTCCACAACCACCCCAGGCGCGAGGATTTCAGCCGCTGAAACAATTGCTACGCAATTGCCACACACTAAGATCTTATCTCCTTGACTAATTGACTATAACATCACGAAACACGTATATAGTATCTCCTGGTATTCTCAAGAAAATAGGTCATCCATTCTATGCAATGCTGTGTGGAACCTGCTGTTAAGGGTGAACGCTCTCAACATGGCGCAGAAAATGTTTGCCAGGTGATCAATGTGAAGAAACCCTACACTGTGCATGTTCCTGGCCCAAGCCCTTCCGCCTGCATTTTGCCAACTTGATTGAACTCAATGATGTGTACAGGTGCAGAGTTGCCCACAACAAACATATACAGCGTAGTGTAGTCTTGCCAAAGCAAACAGCCAGACTATGTCCAGTTTTTGAAACTTGCATATGCATCCTGAGTTTGTACCACTACTGGGTTAAGAATGCTGAGAATAGGATGACTTGGTGCAGACAATCCAGGCACGGTTGTAGCTTATCAGCTTTGGTTCTCACAATCTTGACAGCGTTGGACATGCTCGGAATCCTTTGAAGCCAAGATCACTACGTGCACGTGCCCGTCCCTTCTCCACCACACATTGTCACCAAGTACCACACCAAGTGGAACACCGTGGTGGATCACGCTCACACAATGACCTATGCAGCTTGACATGCACAATTTTTTTGAAGCGGTTTTGTTTGTAACCTGTGCACCACGCTTGCACCCGTGCTTTCCTCCATTCCAGTCTTCTGACTACTAGTGGCTACTAGTTTGCTGGCATTGTGAGCACATTTCTTCATGATGCGTTGACATGAGGAAGCTTGTGATTAGACTCAGCACTTTATCAAGCCGCAGTCAAGCCAACTGGATCTCTCTTTGAAGAAGAGAGACCATATGTGCTTAAACATGGAGAGACCGCATCAGCTTGTTTTTGCGCCCCGAGCAAGTGCTGCTTCTAAGAACTGCGACACCGGAGTTGATGATTGGCATTCACTTTGGACGCATGCAAAGCTTCTTGGACATCGATTTGAATTGGACGCTCTTTCTCCGAAGAAGACCTTGAGACCGAGAAGCCATGAAAAGCCACATAAAGAGTCAGAATTTACTGTACAGTATATATAATTGCTTTCATTACAGAGTCAGACAAGGGATTTTGTGCGCCCAAGATGATGCTGCACTTCAAGACTGGCCAAGTGGTCCTTGCGACGGCGAGCGTCGTTTAGATGTCAAGACAAGATAGCTGGCTCCATTTATTCAACAATAAATTTGGTCACCGTTGTATGCGACGCTTTGGCAGACTGAGGCAGCGTTGGTGCTGCAGCCACAAGTTCGTTGGCTGCCCTGGAAGCGTTTCGACTGGTCTCGACTCCGTGGGTTCGACACTTGCTGGCGACAGCTTGGCCTCGAGCTTTGGCTCCGACTACGGATCTCTGGGCTCATCCAGCTTGACCTCGGGCGCTTCCGATTCCGATTTGAGTGCATCTACTTTGTCCTCCGGTGCCTTGAGCTCGTCTGACTTCTCCTCAGATTTGAGCGGATCTACTCTGTCCTCCGGTGCCTTGAGCTCATCTGGCTTCTCTTCTGGCTTGAGTACCCTCGGAGACGACACGCTTCCACTTAAGAAATGAGCCAATCATTGGAGACTTGGCCCATTTAATGCGACAAGAAAGGCTGCACCGTCCGAAGGGACTCGACTGTGTTGTTCCTGCTTTGCGACCTGTTGGTAATTTGAGTTAATTGTGACTTTAATTGTTTCTCTATGTTTCTCTTGCGCTACCAACTAGTTGGACATCATTGGGAAAAATATGTGCTGCGGAGTTGGACTTCGTGGAAGCTTGTGAGGTTGCAGATTTGGAGCCCAAATCCACTGCACTTATAAAAGGATAGAAAGAACAAAGAGAACAAAGAAGGTAAGGGCAAGGGCCCAACTTTAACAGGGAGCCTTCTTACAGGGGCCCTTACCTTACCTTTCGACAGCGGATTTGCTGCGCTAAGGGCTGAGCGGCTGAGCACTGAGCACTGAGCGGTTTTCCGCTGGGAAGTGAATCAGCGCCCTGCGTTTGCTTAGCGCAGCGAGACATTCAGCTTCCTTTTAGGGCTTAGGGATCTCATGTTCCAAGAAATAACGCCATTGGGTTAGTGGAGAACATGGACAACTGGTTTACAGGGTTATCTTGTACTAGCAACAGCCAGGACAAAAACAAGTCAAGAGTATTCCATGGTATTTCGGTATTTGATTGCCTTTGAGAAACTTTGAGTTCAAGGCAAGTTAGTATGTTAGAGCGCTTCCAACCCACACAAAAATCAATTCAATCACGCTTGAGGAGGATGATGTCCCCTTCGTTGGGCGCTGAATTTGCTTTCAACAATGTCCGTCGGGAAGGCTTAGTGGCATCCAGAACCCCCAGCCCTCTTCAACAGGATTTGGTTTTCCTTTCGATGCCTTTCGTATCCTTTCTAAGGAGTTTGCCACTGATGCTCACCCGCACGGACCTGCGAGGCATATCGCTTTTGGGGCTTAGGCTTAGACTTATGGAGCTTAGAGCGGGTCGGTTCTTTGAGC